CTAACATGTACAATGTTGGTAGGTAAGGTTTTAGTTACTACTACGTATAATAGTTACTAACAATAGATATATATATATATATATATATATATATAGTATGAAAAAAGTCACATTACGGGAGATTATTTGTGGCTTAATAAATATATCTTGTTGATATTTGATTCTTTGTTTAACATTAATGTATTTTCACTTTTGAATAGATATATGGTCTTATTGACTTGCAATTCTTGTAAACGTTTTTTTTCTTTTTTATTATTATGTTTATCACACAAAATTGTTATCCAATCAGATACATTTAATAAAGTTTATTATTTTGTATGGTAGGTGACTAATATATTCTGATGACCCAAATCTTTATTGAATTTTATTTTTATGTTTATCCCATTCAAAAAATGTACATAAACACTTTGGCTAACTAGCTACTTAGTTATCTCTAATTACAATTCTGATACGTTTCAAATAAATCTTAGTTTTTTTCCTTCATTGTGTCTAATAAATATGTACTTACCTACTTTTGGTGCATCATAAGAATCCCCCAAAAGTATTTCTGGTGCAGAGTATGCCAATGACCCACAAGAAGTTTCCAATTTTTGACCAGGGCAAAATTTATTGCTAAATCCAAAGTCTGTCAATTTTACCATTCCTAGTTTTTCAAAAAATACGACATTTTCCGGTTTCAAGTCACGATGTACCACATGAAGTTTGTGACAGTAAGATATTGCATGCAGGATCTGCTGGAAATAAGTTTTGGCTGTCTCTTCATCTATTCCTTTATCGTGTTTCATAATGTAATCGTACATATCTCCACCGTTTCCGAATTCTAATATGAGGTAAAGTTTTGTTTGTGTGTCAATAACATCATACAGCCTAACTACATTAGGATGTTGAACAAGTTTCATCAAACGAACTTCTTGAAACAAGTGAGCACGCGACATATCGTCTAGTTTCGTTTTATCAATCACTTTTACAGCGACTTGCTCACCAGTAAACACATGCTTAGCAAGTTTCACAACTGCGAAATGTCCACGACCTAAAGTATCCCCGAGGTCATACAGCCCTGCAATCATCTTCCCGGTATAATTATTTGGTTTACTTCTTCGTCCTTCCTTGGGTTCGATCGCTCCTTTCTCGCCCATCATTTTACTTCAATATACAAAAGAAAAACAAATAATTCAAATATGCTGATAGTATAATCTATCATATATCTATGTAAAAATAATATACATTATTATCACATACAGGATTTTTTGACATGTATTTATCATTAAACACGTAAAACTGAGATTTAATTTTCCCTGCGTGTACGCATACAGTTTGCGCAATAGATGCTAGACCCCCCAAAAGGTAGCGCTGTTGATGATATTGTTAAGTATAAAAAATAATTTACAATTAGAATATGTAAAACGCACACATTGTAACGACCTAGCAAAACGCCTCTACAACTAGGGTCAAATAAAAACAATTTATTAAATATAACAAATAAATAGCCTTCGGTACGGTTTTGCACTCTAAATTGATAGTTAAGTTGTACGATATAGGAATTAGAGGGGTTATGCTAGATTGGTTTAAAAGCTATCTGCAGAGTTGACCTCAGATGGTTAAAGTAAACGGTATTATGAGCGATCATTTTACTTCAGAATATTCAATCCGTCAGGGTACAGTTTTAGGACCGATCCTTTTTATAATATTTATAAATGATCTATGCAGCTTAGCACTGGACGGACGGTTAATTGCCTTTGCTGACGATACAGCCCTGTTTTGTGCAGGTGATAATTGGGAGGAGACCCTCAGTACTACAGAGCGAGAACTTAACAACATTAAATACTGGTTAGGTACAAACACATTATTACTTAACGTTATAAAAACAAATTACATGACATTCTCGCTTTATAATACAGGTCAGCCAACTCCTGCGGCTCTCGCATGCATGAAAAGAACTACACCCAATCCTACCCCCAACAATGTAACTGCTACAAAGTGAATATTGTTACGACAGCGGAAGTCACATGACGCTAGTAACACGTTATGATATTCTCGAAGGTTCTTGAATGCTCGAGTGTTTACTAGATGTGCGGTATACTTGTGTATAAGACCGCCAAGAAGTGACGGCAACAATGGAATTGAATTGCAGACAGAGACAGAGACGGACAATTCAGTCAAGCTCGTGAATTGTTCGTTTGAATTATAGCGTTTGTTTAAGTTATAGCGTGACTGTGGAAATTAAGTGTATTGTAAAGTTGTATTAAGAAAGAATAAACTAGTTTTATATAAGAAAGGACTTTTATCGCTAAAGTTTCTTCGGAAATAATTTTTACGGAAAATTAACAAACGAACACACAGGCGTAACAATATAATAGATAGAGTTAAATACTTAGAAGTCTCAATAGATAATTGCTTAAATTGGAAGCCACATATATTAGACTTAACTAAAATAATGCAGAAGTTAGTATACATATTTGTAACACTCAGAGGATTTTTGTCGATAGATAAATTAAGGATATTATACTGTTGCGTCAGCGAGTCACATGACTAGTGTGACGCCACGTTTCTAGAACTATCCCGTACCTTGGCGAATGCTCTAGTATTTACTAGATATAGGGTAGTCTGGTATATAAAAGAGGGTGCCAACGTGACGGGAGAATAATGTAATGTGTGTGTGTGTGAAGATAGTGAGTAATTGAACTGCAGTCAGAAGTATTATTGAGTTCGTTGATATAGCGTTTGTTTTAGCGCGATTGTTGAAAATAAGTGTATCGTAAAGTTGTATG